AGTCCTCACTATGTATGGTAATACAATGAGAAGTCAGTGCTAGGCTTTGAACTGGGAGGTAACTTTAGCAGGCTGGTGTGCTGAGAAGACACATCCAGCAAGTGCTGTAGCAAAAAGCAGCTGAGGGCATGGGGAGGGCAGTGTCTGAGTCATCAGATGCCACCCTGCCAGCTTCCAGGTGAGTATGGGTTCTCCTACTGAGTGCATTCCTGGGCCAGTCTTTGATGTGAAGGTGCTTCTGGCCTGTGAGGTTTGCAGTGCGACAGTGCCCCCTACAGGCATTTTAGGATTAAACTAGGCAAATATGGATGAGGAAAGACCTTCAAAGTGATCCAAACAACCAACTTGGCAGGCTTAAAGGCTCTCAGGAACCTTGAATTGGCAGCCTGGGCACCAGAAGCCTATTGATGCTCAGGACACACTCCTAACCATGCTCTTGCAAGGAGACTCAAGCGGTGTTTGGTGCATTCCCTTCATAGGAAATACCTTGGCTTCTAAATGTGGGCTTGATTTAAAACAAACACAAGGAAACCAAAGAAAATAATGTCTGATGTCTGTGGGTGGGATCTCCCTGATAGCCTTCACCCTTTCTTAATGCTTCTCATAGCCAGGAGGGAACAGGAAAGTCATCTTTACAGTCTAACTTCTCCATTTAACAGAACATCATATCCAGTGAGCCCCATGAAGTTAAACAGGCCCAGGACTGCATTAGAACCCAGTGAACTAGAGTGACAGCCATTACATAGATATTTTTCATATTTCTAATTCTTGGCTTAACCTGATCCATCAGAATTTGCTATTTTCCTCTAAGGGTCAATTTAGGATAGGGTTGAAGGTAATGAAGAGGAAGAGGGTTTCTACTAAATTCTACAGACAATTTGGATACCTCACTTGTTGCCTGTTACAAACCCCAGTCGGATGTAGTCAGTGAAGTTGGCAGTGCTAGACAACACTTGTCCACAGATGAAGAAAGTATTCTCCATCCCTTGACTCCTGAGGGTAAGGCAGGCTTTAATTACAGTCTACAGTCTCTGTAGTCTGTGGGCTCTTCCTGTCAGCAGTCTCCTCGCTTTTTTTGGCCCCACCCTGAGGATGGTATGCCTATCTTAATCTGAAGATGACAGTAGGGAATTTCTGTGGTTGATCTGTGACAAAGGCTTTATATATATATATATTATAAAGAACTGTCATTTGCAGATTTCCCAGCCACCTCTCTAGGTTCACTGAGAAGTTAACCCACAGCATGAATTTTCCATACACTATTGGAAAGAACATGGAGGCTATGGCATAGACAAAAGTGTGTCCTTGAACAAGTCTGCACAATTAACCATGGGTCTATCAGATAAGTTAAAACAATGCTTCAGAAAGCATGTAAATGCTCATAAATGGCAGCACTGGGACACTTGTGTGCCCCTTGACTTGTTAAAGAACTTTATATTGCTTTAACACTGTTGTGCAATTTTAAAGGTCTAGTGATGTCATTCTTTCCAGAAAGATCTATGGTTTATTTTTTTTTGGGGGGGGGGAGACTGTGGTTTTTCTCGTTTGAGATAGTCTAGATAAGTAGCCCATAGTAGTCTTGAAGACTTGAGAGCCCTCCCTCTGCCTCATAAATGCTGGGATTACAGTCATCCACTGCTAAGTCTGATCTCTCATTACCATCTTCTTGAGAATCAGAAACACTGTTGGCTGTAGCTGCTTGTCTTTGATCTTAACTGGATTTCAGTCTCAATACCTGTGCTGTATGTATTTTATGCCTGCAAATGAGCATAAAAATAAATGAGAAAGAACTGCCATGAGGTGTTTGGATAAGACTTGATAGAGCAAGGCTAATGTCCTTATCATGTAATGCCATTCCTGTCCCTGACAAGACATTTCTCTGGAAGTGGCAGGTGTTGCCCATATCTTTCCCATTTAGGTTATACAGAGACATAAAGTCAAAGGATAGCACATAATTTTAAAAACATGGGTCTTCTCGTGGTTGAAATTCTTGGGACACCAGATGCTCTGAGTCACCCAGGTTCATTGATTGATTTGAATAATTAACAGAATTATCATCCAGGACTTGAAAGGTATGCTCTTAGATGCGGTACTGGGTAGGTCTGCACTAAAGGTTTGGATGGAAATGTGGACTCACCCAGATTCGCAGTGCCAGACTCTGACAAATTCAATTTCAACACTTCCACTGCATCTTGGTAGGTGCTCATACCGGATGTCATCAGCCAATGATGTAATTCAGAAAGAGTAGTATTTTGCAATAGAGATTCTGGTAACCCTTCCCATGAGTGTGGGTTGCAAGCTATCAATATTTATGTCACAGGCAGAGAGCATGTAACATTTTGTAACTAAGAGAGGTTAGATGCCCTGAGTCTTCTGCATACATTAATTGTCTTTTTGCTCCACAACAACAGCTTAAATTCCTGCTGTTTGCCTTTTATTTTCTTAAGACTTTTTTTTCAATTAAATATAATGAAGGAAAATCTTATTGATGCTACCAAAATATCCACGTCAAAATTAAAGGATTAGATTTACATAGTTGCAGGAAATACTAAAAGATGGATTAATTCATAATTTCATCCTATGAAAATATGATTACATAAAAACCTAACTTTGGTTACAGTGACAAGGTGTTGTAAATACCTCCCCCCCCCTTTTTTTGTAAAATTATTAGCTTGGTATGACTGGTATTACAGGGCTTGCCCCACCCCATCACAGTCTAAACTATACATGATGATGTACTCATAAATGTAGATGACCTAAGAATGTATTCTCAAAGAACTGAAAGGTGGACACAGGAAGATGAAACAGGGGAATAAAATAATTTAAACTTCTTGGACTGTTTGGTTTTGTCACAGACACCAGCAACATCATCATATAATCCACCTACATAGTTGAAAAAGCAGTTCTGAGGCAAAGGCTTTATTGCTTTGTTCATATTCTCATGTGCACAGATATTGCCAGTTATTTCTCTGGCTCCGTAGGCATGACAGAGTTTTTTGCTGCAGAAGTAACCCCAGCAGTTGCAAGATCACAAGATCATTTTATATACTAGCCCATAAACAGACAGCTTTCATAAATTGTGCTCTAAGTTTCTGGATTGTTTTGCTGGGCGTGTTTCATATTGCTAATAAACCAGTGTGCAGTGAGTGAAGAATATTGTATCTGTATTATTACTGTTTCAGTTAACATTTTGATTTGGCTATCTGGAAGTCATAACTGAAATTCTAATTTCAGGTTACTGTGTGTGAAATTAGTAAGTACTTTCAGACTGTAAACATGTGTGACCATTTATGGTGTCACTTCTCCAGAGGTAGCAGAGAAATCCTCTTTCCTTTCCTCAAGAGGTAGTCCTTGGTCAATTGAAAGTAGACCTCTACTGTTCCTTCCTGGAATCTCCTCGGTGTTCTCTACATCTTTTTGAAATGCCCAGGAACAGGTGAGCTTTCTAGGCGTGGTTGATAGAGTCACTGGGTGGAACTGTCCCTCCCCACCCCTTGGCATGATGCAACTTTGCACATGCTGAAAGTGCTGATCTGCAATGCAGCTATGTTACATTCCTTCTGGAGGAAAGACAAAGCCAAGGAAATACCTTCTATCAAGGAAAGCCCAAGTAGGGGACCTAAAGTGTGGATTGAAGGCTACGTCAGTACATGCACTGGGCTGAAGACTGGTTGCTATTGTAAGAATAGTCAAGTATCACTTTGTTTTTTCATGATCAAATTGTTCTGCTTATGAGGAAAGAAATAAGTCCATGTTTCTAGATTAAACCCAGAAAGGAAAAACACTAACTGTTATTACTTTGTAAATTCATGTTTTATTTCCTCTAAAAATAAATTATTTTTTTTACAAATTGAACATTAAAATATATACCAAGGATAATAATATTCAGGGATTAGAGATGGGGTTAATAATGAAAGTGTTGAGGATAGTCTCACTTGCAGTACAGATATAGGAGGGATTTTTTTTTCCTTCTCCTATAGTTCAATTTTAGAACTATAAGGGTCTTGTAGAAAATACAACCAAAGTTCAAAGAAAAATAAAAGATTTTGCATAAGACTGGATCATGTGGCATAAATACAATTGAAAAGAAATATTCCCATGCCTACCACTGTTCCATTTTTACCTATGTGTTAATGCATAATCAATCAAAAATGGTAAAATTGCACATGCTGCTGTTCCTCCATCTAGTTTTCACTTTCGATTTTGGGATCAATTGGAGGCTTTTAGTTATTAGATGAATTCTAGGACTTCAGTTCATGTGATGGTCATTAGGTAATCCTTCCTATGGAAGGATGCCATCACAAGCAAAAACATCAGGGGACAGATTAGCCCACTGCAAGTTTTATAATCCCTACAGAAACGGCAATTTCGCCTACTCAGGACTTGCTGTCCAGGTGACTTTCAGACCTGGAGAATTTCTTTGCTGTTCCAAACTCCACAAATAGTTTGCACACTGTTGTCACAAGCTAGGTATGATTTATGCTTGCCTTGCTAACTCCATTTTCTTTCAGTGATCCAGGTTGAATACATTTTATGTTCACTCAAATAGTTATTGGTTTCATTTAAAAGTTGATACCAAATTCCCTGAAAAGCATGAGGGCAGAAGGTTTGGGATCTGGTCTGTTGAAAGAGATGGCCCAAAATTTTGAAGACATGAAGAATCCAGGCATGGCATTTCTTTGACTTGATGTAGGTAGGGTAAGCAATTCAAATGAAAACGCACATTTGAGGTGATCAGAAGCATGGAACAAGTCCTTCTGCAGTGACAATGACCACACAATAACGAAATCAAAGTAGGGTTGTAAACTTGGCTTCTGTGTAGCTTGTTCACATAGCTCCCTTGGCACCCAAAGATGGCAAGACCTAAGAACCAGTGTTCAGGTTATCCTCTTACTATGTTGTCACCCAAACCTCCATTATTTTCAAGTTAACTTGTCACATTCTGTGTCATCTGAAGAACTTCATTGGAGTCTTTGACAAATGACTTGAATATATATGCCTTATAAGGTCTGCCCGTCAGAGCAGATGAAGTAATGTGATTTCAGATTTAGACACCTGAAACAGAGAGAACATTGGTTTCCATAAGAGTGCTGTCTGTGTTTATCATTATGGATTACACATACAAATGTGCTGCTGTAACAGCTCTTGGTACTCTACCTAGACGCCATTTGTCTACTGGTGGATGCATCACTCAGCAGCAGAAAGTAACCCACGGTGCTACTGTGCATGTGTTCCCCCATAGCCTTCAGAGTGCCTTGCCAACAAGTTTCTAACAAATTTTAAAACCCTGATCATTACCCAGCGGTGAGCATTGTGAGCCTATGATTGATTGATATGGAATATTAAAGCCAAAAGCCCCCTTGCTTATATAATTCCTCCACCTTCTCTCAGCCAGTTGCTTTGATGTGGATCTCTGCATCTGCTTCCATCAGTTACTGGATGAAGGTTCTATGATGACAATTAGGGTAGTTCTCAATATGATTGTAGGGGAATCTCCCTGTAGGGGAAGGCCAGTTTAGGCACCCTCTCTACTATTTGTAGAGGTCTTAGCTGAGGTCAAGATCATAATGGGGAAAATCACAGAGATAGTTTACCAGAACTTGTAGGAGCTCACAAACTCTAGACCGACAGCTGGGGAGCCTGCATGGGACCACATCAGGCCCTCTGCAGGTAGATGACAGTTTTGTACCATGGTCTGTTTGTGGCACCCCTGGCAGTGGTAACAATATCTAACCCTGATGCATGAGCTGGCTTTTCAAAGCCCATTCCATATGATGAGATGCTTTGCTCAGCCTTAAGGTGGGGATGGGGAGGGGCTTGGTCCTGCCTCAACTGAATGCATCACACTTTATTCACTCCCAATGGGAAGCCTTGCACTTTCTGAGGAGTGGATGGAGGGATGGGTTAGGGGAGGTGGTGGGGAGGGGAGGGAGGAGGAAATGTGGTTTGTCTGTAAGATTAAATTCTCTGTTCCTATAGAATCAGGCCCATCTGCCATTGGAGCTGAAGCCTCATCTTTGCTTGGCAACGTCAGGCTGTGTTGTTGGCTTTCCTTACTTCACTATAAGTTTTGTCTTAGATACCACCTACAGCCATCACATGCATAACCATGTCTATCTCAGACCCTTCTTCTAGAGAGCCTGACTTTCCACACCAAGCTCATGAATATCTGTGGATTTTCAATCCTCCTCTATTTCCTCCTCCTCCTAGTCTTTCTCCTCATCTTCATACTTCTCCTCCATTTTCTCCTCTTCCCCCTTGTCTTCCCTCCTTTCTCCTCCTTGCTTTCTTCCTCCTCTTTTTCATTATTATTCTTCATCTCTTTGGCAAGTGTAAAGCTATTACAACACATATTCAAGTCTTTCTTATAAACATTTATTAAGGAAAACAAACTTTTAATTTTGATCATGGAATTTTACTCACTTTTTAAAAAGTGAGAATAGTGAAAAAGTATCACAGAGGAAAGATATTTGTTCTCAATGCATCTCATTAATTTAAGAGTTTTTCTTAGTTTGTGGACTTAAGGAACAATAACTAGAATGGGGGAAAGTTGAAATAATATGGTACATACATAGCTAACTTACACTTGTTTGTGGATTAAGTTCTTGATAATGGGTTTCTAGCAGGAGACAGTATTTCTAAAGATAACTCCCCTTGATGGCTATGGTGAAAGTGACCCATATTTGTCACACATTTTCACTTATTTAATGAGTATTTCTTAACTTTTGGGGGGGGGCTTTTTTGAGATAAGATTTCTTGATGCAGCCCTGATTGTCTTGGGACTGTCTCTGTAGAGCAGGCTGACCTCAAACTCACAGAGATCCACCTGCCTCTGCCTCCTGAGTGCTGGGGTTAAAGTTGTGCACCACCACTGCCCAGCTTTTAAGTTTCTTTTCACTCAACAATATGTATGCATCATTAGACATTAAATATATAACCATCGATAAGATACATTTAATCTCTGCCTTCTAGAGGCTAGCTAGCCTTCCCACTTAGAACTTTGACTTAGGCCAACATACACAAGAAGAAAGGACACTGTAAATTTACACTGTTCTATTGCATCTGAAAGTAATTTTTACCACTTGTCTGGGTTCATGAAAAGGCACTAAATGTGACAGAGGGTCTCCTCAGACACACATGTCACTAGTAAGGACTCAGTAAACATTTGTCAAGTGAACACACACAACCCATTTAAAACGTTGGTTTTCTTCCATACCTTTTTCTTACGTAGCAATATAAGACAGCAAGAAAAGCACTAATTAACAATCCAACACCAATTCCGATTGCAATGTATTTCTCATGAGAATCCACGGCGTATGAAGTTAAGGTCAAATGCTCACACCTCTCTCCCGTATATCCAGTAAAACACCTTTAAAGACAGAAAAGAATGCATGACCTTAAAGCCTACATAGACGGAAGTACAAACAGGTGATGCATTTCCAAGAATGAGAGAAGAGAGAAGTTTTCAGAGACACATGGGGGACAGTCCATTAATGGAACAGCTTTACCAGACCTTTCAGTAAGGCCTCACACACTCCCTCACTGCTAGGAAGGAAAGGCAGAGTACTTGTCAAGAAACTGAGCAAATCTGTGGCCAAAAAATAAGATCATGGCAGCTCTTCCTGAACAGATTTTCACTTTATGGGACTCTTGGCTCATCCTGCAAACCTATAAAAGTCCAGAGTCATCTTCCCATGTTGTTAGAAATGCAGACACTGATTTGATAGTTACAGAACACTAAAGTCAGCATTCCCAGTGAGCTCCAAGTTCCACACATGCTATAGTCTGGGTATTACAGTTTTGAGTAATATGGATAAGTAGTTTAGGGGGGAAAAGGCTTTTTCATATTCAAATATGAAAAAGAATAACCAATTACATTCCAATCAAGTGATATTTCCCTATTCTCTTGACATTTCACCATTCTATTCTTTTTAATTATTTTTTGAGATTATAATATAATTACATATAATATAATATAATTCCTCTAAGCACTTCCTTGTTCCTAAGAGGAACAGGAAGTTTGCTGTGAGACTGTGTCATCTAGAAATGGCAGAAACACCACCCATGAAGTCTCACCAATGTGACTGCTTAAATATGACCAGAGCAATGACAGAATCAGTACACAAGCTAATGTGGACTAGAGATGAGGTAGAACCCAGGACATTTCACTCTACACAAAAAGCTGTAGGTAACGAAGGAATAAGACAACAAAAGGGGATCAAAGGGATACAAATTAGAAATGAAGAAGTCAAACTTTGCCTCTTTGCTGATGATAAGACAGTATATGTAAGTGATACTAAAAGTTCTACCAGGAATGCTGAGAGCAGGAGAAATATTCTTCACCAGGGAAGTACACACCAGTTGGCTAGCTACCATGCACTATATTTACTGGACAAAACAGAACAGTTGGAACTGTGCTGTGTCCACCATTTTCTTCTGTCTCTAAGACTTGCTGAGTTTTCGCAGTTACCTGCAAATGGCTTTCTTCAGCTCATGGTGGAATGCACACACTCCATTAATGCAGTAATTATTGTGGTCTTCCAGACAAGGATGGGAGAACTTCAAAGCTACAGGCCCTTCTATGTAGTCAGCTAGGAGAAGGAGATGCATTATTAACAGATAAGTGTGCCCTACTTTCACAATACACGTTCAATGCATGTACAAATAGGCCTTTTGTCTTAAGAAGATTTTAGGCTCTTTGTCCTTTGAAATACTGACTTTCTTTTGCAGGGGTTCCATCCAAAAGGTTGTGTTCATGTCTCTGCACACATTGTAAATAAACTGCAGGGTGGAGACGGATTGATGATTACCCCATTCTTTAGAAGGTAATGACAAAGCATGGATGTGAGTTGGTCGAAAGGTGGCAGCATTGTTTCCAGCTTAGCAGGTAAGTTTGAACAATGTTTCCCAGACATGGAACCAATGCTAATTAGAAAGAAGGCCTCATATCACTTAGCATTTCCCCTCCATGGATAGGGTGGCACCTAGGGAGTCCTGGATGTAGCTTTGCTCTTTAAAAAAAAAAATGGGTATTTAATCCCTCTCCAGAGGAAAGGAGGAGAACCCTCTTTCACTCTCCCACAAACTGCCAGGAGGTGGTAATTAGACAGGGGACATTTTCACTGACTGACCAGCAAGGGACTGTTATGACTAATAGAAGAAGGCAGAACCAATGTGGGGTTCAGGTGAACACTGCCAATGGCAACACCTCTACATACTAAGTGACAGTTCAACTATGTTAAGAGATGTAGAGAAGATGTAGAGAGGCGGTATCTGAGACAGAGTTTTCTTTCTTTTGTTCCAATACTGCAAAAATGACCACAGTGTACAGTCTAGTGTTCTGAAACCTTGTGGGACACCCACAGAGGAAAGGCTGTTGTGAAAAATCATCTGTGTTTCAGGACGCCACCGGTTCTGGAATGCCAGGGGTAACATGTACTGGTTGGTGCCACCCTAGGTGCCTATGTAATAAGACAGGCTTTTAGGGACAGGTGCATAATTGAATCCTTGCCATTTTCAAATCTTTCTTAATCAGAATTAGTGGCATGTTACGTTGTATGGAGTGAGAGAGTACACCTCCTCACTATTAGTCATTGCTCCTGCTATACCATATGTGCATTTCTGCAGAGACCAAGAGGATCCTACTTAGGTGTCTTAAGGGAAAACACAGACCTAAAATATTCCTCTTCATGTAAGAATGCTAAATGTCTATACACTAGGGTACCAACAAGACACCATATCACTTTGCTTTGAAAACACACACTAGAACTTAAAATTGGCATTCAATTTGCTGACTGTGATGTCTTAAACATAATTTATCCCTTTAGGAATTGATTTGGAGGCACATCAAGAACTTCTCAGTCAAGCTGTGCTAAGTTCCTCTTAATTCAAGGCCAACCAAGTTCCCGTAGCCAAATTTAATGGAAGGCTTTCTAAAAATATGAGAATTTGAAAAACACTATTTCCAAGGCAAGAACACTCGAGAAGAACATTAGTTATAACTTTATTAAAATCATACAATATGATTCACATTTTTAAGTTGAAAATAAAACGAGGAGCTACAGCACTGTTACTGTTATAGAATGCATGTTTAGCATGCTCATGGCCCTGGAGTCCGTGCCAGCATTGCAACAAAACAAGAAAACATACTTTTTTGTTTTGTTTTTTGTTTTTTTGTTTGTTTGTTTTGTTTTTGTTTTTCTGGAAGAATTGGAAATGGAAAATGTAGCATAGATTCTCCATTCCTTCCCCATTTCTATTATTATCTAAGATTTCATTTGCAGTTCCTTCAGCATTTTGAGAGAAAGAAAAGGGTGGGATTGGGGTGCTGGAAACATTGCTATGCCCTCTACCACTAAGACGAAACCATGTCTTTAAATATTCTACACATTCAGTTTTACAGATTGATGTTCAAAAATCAAATGGACATCTTAAGTCTTTAAAAATAATTGGAAAGATGAGAAACAGTTAAATATTACTATCTTTAATATTTTAAAATGAGCATTTTGGCTTCATCTTTTTTTTTTCTATTGGCTAGACCCTGAAATCAAGTTAAGAAGTTTCCTATGTCCTGATCACAAACCATAGCCTTTACATCAGGGGACATTATGAGACCTGAGAGGGAGTCAAAGCCATTAAGACACAGGTCTTGACAGGCAAGGCACTTGCCAAGTACATCTGTAGTTCAAATAGATTTGGAAGCTGTGCCACAATGCCATGCTCAGCACATCCAGAAGCCTCTATGGTATATGCAAAGTCAGACAGAAAGAAAATATATGACCACCATCAATAACAAAATCCTGGGTGGAAGAGTTTAGAAAGTGCAGCATATACTAAAAGGACAATAAGCAACAAGAAAATACTTTTCCAATAATCAGAAAAAGCATTGCTTCTTGTAGCTATAATTCCTGTGGTAGCTGAGCTTACTGTCAGAGATCACACTACAGTGGACTTTCCTCAAGAATATCAAAGTCATATGCAATTACACTGGATACCCCGGGTCACTGGGAGTCGAGCAGACTCCAAGCAGAACCTGTGGCATGTCTGCGTTCAGGAAAGCAGATGAAGACAGGCAACTTTTTTCACCCTTGTTTCACTTCCTCCTTTAACAAAACAAAAAAAGCAACCCTTGGCTGGCACATCTACCTGTCAGTTCAGCTAAACATAATCTTTCTGAAGCAGCTGACTATCTTATAAGATATGGTTACAATTTCTCCATTGTTGTCTCTATCACAATTCAGTTTTCTGTCAACGGTTTCAAAGATGGCACTAGAATTAGAATGGCAAGGAGGTACCTTCTGTGTCATTAACTGTCCAGTTGCTCTGCTGCTGGGTGTGAGGAGGCATCATGCGCACCTCTGCTTCTTCAGTCAGCGAGGCCGCCATTGCTGTGGTTGGGGAAAAGCATCTTTCACAGGTGAGTCTCCTTTGTGCGCAAACAACAGATCCAAAGCGGGTCTTAGTCGGGGGATTCCCATTTTCTGTCTGGTTTTAACTCGTTATGTTTGATGGGATCCAGAACCTGACAAGGGCAATTCCAGACTACTTTCTAGCTGTCTCATTGACAATATTACGGTTACTGAAATACACCCACTCTTAGGAGAAAGTTCTGTATTTGCATGCTAAATCAATCATCACATACAGCTTACAGTAGCGCAGTAGCTGCTATCAAACATACTTTCAACTGCTTAAAGCCATTATGTCAGCCTTCTTAGAAAAAAAAAAAAAAGTCGAGAGAAGGAAGAGCATCTATTCCACAAAGATCTGATTAATCCACACATTCCTTACTCTGATCCTTGTCAGGGGCAACCTCGACTTCAAAGAACTAAATCTTTACATTTTACAGTGGTACAGAGTTAACAAATCAGAAAGGAAACAGCCTACCTTTGAACAGGAGGCAGACTGCCATTGCCACCCTCAGAGCCATATCCTGTAGCTGCTGAACTTCTTTCCCTGGTCCTCCTAGACTGAAGGGTGGACGGGTTTTAATTGCGCTCTCCGAGTCTTTCCTTCATTTATATTTCATGAAGCGTCATTTGGCAGTTCTTACCAATCCAAAAACTATGTGCTCCTGGCAGCAGCCTGAAGCCTGCAGGCACTCGCACACTTGTTTAGGATACCTGCATTATCTAGAGATGTGATCAAATTTCCTCTTGAAACACTGGTTTCCTGTCACCTGTGGGCATAATCGCGCGCACAAAAGTTCTTAAAACAACAAAAATGAACGCAAATGCAGAAGAGTCCTCGCTCCTATGAACTGGAACGTGGCTTCTTAGTAGGTTAAGAAGGACCACAGCCAAGATATCTGCAAACCATTAGATTGGATGACCTGTTAGGATCAGTGAAAGTCCCCTATTTGACAGTCAGTTCCGTCCTCTTTCATTACAGATGCTTGGGGGCGGGAGGGGGGGGGATACTAAGAAAAAAATATTTGTCAATATGGCTATAAAAAATAATTGGATTTGTATAAAAAGTATGTGTAGTATTCCATTTTTGTTTTTTCTACTTGGTTGTACTCAAGATAAGTTTTGTTAAATAAAATTACTTCTCATACTATAACATTAACAATTATGTCATTCTGACATTTGATGCTTTAGGAAGAAATGGGATGGACTGCCAAGTTCCAGGAACCACTAAGTCTGGCCTCATAATAGGATGCCCCAGATCAATTCATTAATAATATTGAAACTGTGTACGGTGGTAGTAGTCATCATAGACCCTTCATTGAGGTATCCTCTAATTTGAGTAATCTAATAAATAGCTAGTTTGAATTTCATACTGAATTCAAGATTGTCTCACTGTTGACACAGTAGTAATTAAAATGAGATTATAGAAACCCAAATATATAATTTTGCCTGTGCCTTTTTTGGTGAAAGTGTAGGGGCTATTTGTAAATTTTCCCCTTCCCCAAATTACATAGAATATTTATGGTGTAGTTTGCTGAAGTAGCATAACTTTCTACTTGTAATTTCATTTGCTTAATTTTTCTGACCCTTGAAAACTTGTTCAAGGTTGGTTATCATGTGAATCATGTCTACCAAGCAAATTATATTTATCAGAAAGAATCCCTTTCTATATTCAAATAAGAATTTGGCTTTAGAAATCACGCAAGCACAAGCTTGTTGTACTCATTACAGCTTGGGCAATCATTTACCACAAGAGTCATCACTTTAAAGTTAAAAGAATATGTACCACTTGGCTCACTTTAAGTATGTCTACACACTGGACTCTGGTTTTAGGATCTTAAAGAATGTTTAGTATGTCAATTTCTGGTCATCATTTTTTTTTCACAAGAAAATAATATTATAAGTAAAGAATCTTCTTTAGCCCCTTTTGGAGAATTTAAGACATAATTTACTAAGGCTTAAAATACTATCACAAGTCTTTCAAAGTTTCTGGAAAGAAATATTAGGACCCTCTCTCTCTCTGTCTCTCTCTTTCTCTCTGTCTCTCTCTCGTGTGTGTGTGTGTGTGTGTGTGTGTGTGTGTGTGTGTGTGTGTAGGAGAGAGAGAGAGAGAGAGAGAGAGAGAGAGAGAGAGAGAGAGAGAATATCAAGCCCAGAACTTCATCACAGGATCACATACTAAGCAAGTTCTCAGCTGGTGTCAAATACACCTGGCCCAAATATCTTCACTCTTAAGACTGAGCTATAGACGCATGATGTTATCTTTGTAATGACAATTACCTGGAGGGGCTGTGGAGATGGTTCAAATTGTGAGGACCTGAGATTTGGATCCCCAGCACCCATGTAATATCAGGGGTGGTGGAACATATCTGAAACCTCAGTGATAGAAGGGAAGAAGCAGGAAGGTTCTTGGGTCTTGACACAAGCCAGTTTACTTGAATCCGTAAATTCCAGGTTCTGTGAGATACCATGCTGATGCTGGTTAGATTTTTGTCAATGACAAAAACTTTGACACATCTAGAAAAGGAGAATCTCAATTGAAAATTGCCTGTGGACATGTCTGTGGAGCGTTGTGTCATTTAATGATGGACATGGGATGGCTCTGCTTATTACAGATGGTGCCACCCCTAGGAAGTTGGTCCTGGATTAAAAAAAAAAAAAGAAAGAAAGAAAGAAAGAAAGAAAGAAAGAAAGCAGAGTAAGCCATTGGAAGCAAGCCGGTAACTGGTACTCTTGCATGGTTTCTACTTTAGTTTGTGTCTCAAGGTTCCTGCCTGAAGTTTCTCCTCTGAATTCCCTCAGTGAAGGACTATGACCTATGACATGTAATAAAATAAACACTTTCCTCCCCAGGTTGCCTTTTGTCATGATGTTTAGCACAGCAAAATAAGACTGATGAGACTTTAAAAAATAACCAGATAACAAAGATGAATAGAAGTTCAAAAGACTTGACTGGGGCTGAGAATGTAGCTGAGTGATTGATGGTGTAATTACACAAGTAAGGACTGGAATTCAGTCCCTAATACTCAGGAAAAAAACAAAAAAACAGAGTAGAGGAAGGGAGAGGTAAGGAGGAAGGAGAGGAGAGAAGAGAAAAATACTCAAGTCATATGCCAAAGAACATGCATCAGATAGGGCTTCAATGTCATTTTCAAATCCCTCCTCAGAAGTCCTCCCCACCCTTCCAGATGTGTCCTCTCACACAAGTGGCTGTACTGATCACAGAAGTCCCTTAACTCCAATAGTCAAATTTTAAATAAATTTCCTTTTATTATAAGAAACCAAAGATTAAAGGAACCAAAGTTTTTACTCATATCTGTAAAGTCAAGCTTTTCTTTGGGTCCCAGCTCAGAAAAAAAAAAAAAAAAAAAAAAAAGACACAGATTTATTAATCATGAAAGCTTGGCCTTAGCTTAGGCTTGTCCCACTCTCTTTTGTAGGATAAGTTTAGCCATATTTGAGGATCTATGTCCTTTTACATGGCTCAGTTACCTCCCCTCTGCCTGCCTGTCCTACTTCCTAAACCTCTGACTGGTGACTCTGCCTTTCTTCTCCCCCAGACCGTCTCTGTCCAGAAGTCATGCCTATACCTCCTGCCTAGCAACTGGTCATCCAGGTCTTTATTAAACCAATCACAGTGATACATCTTCACACAGTGTAAAGGAACCTTCCACAACATGTCAGAGATTAGAGACTGGTGACTAACTCCCCAAAGAGTTCCCACTGTGACTAGGCTTCTGACATCTTGGCTCCCACTATACTCTCAGCAACCGCTCGAAGTCAGTGCAGCCTCCGCTTCCCCTCTGGGGTCTGTATTGATGGATCTGATACCACTCTCCATAAGAAAGTCACTTCTGTCCTCCCACCACCAAGTCCTTTCTCCAACTTTAGAGGTAGAGAGGTGCCTACGGCGAGGTGGACTTACTGGCATCTGCATTTACTGCTAACACACACTAATGCTAACTAGCGCTAAGAAAGGGAAGGGGAACTTCAATGTCACTTTTTCCTTGTGCCACACTTCCTTTTGCAGCATTCTCTCTCCTCTAGTCATAAGTGCCTCTAAAATTTATTCTTCCAACCTCTACTTTAGCATTTTTAGGTCTTTTTGTTTTGCTGGCCTTTCACTAAATGAGCACTTATAGCTAGTTGTCAGCAGGAAATATTTATGAACATTGTTTGTCCCTCTACATTTGTCCTGTAATTCTTTCAGAATTTGTTGGCAATTCTCAATTCAGTCATAAACTACCAGGTGTCTATAGCAATCATGGCATGGGGCTGTGAGGAATGCTCTTTGTGGAACCAAATGTATAAGCAGTGCATGTTTTCTGACCTCCTATACCTAAAGTCACCCAGGGTTCTATATGTGTAACCTGGTAGGATTGACAGTTGCCATGGTTATCAGCACAGAAGTGGAACTCAAGTTTTCATGACAAAATTTCATTTGGGATGAATCTTAGTAAGTAGGAGTTTTACAGGTAGTGATGTGATCTCTGCCCTTGGCTAAGCACTTTAGTAACCAGGAGGATTACTTTCCTCACCTATCACAGAGATGGCTAAGAAAAAGAAAAGACAAAAAGATTAAGAAGTTGAAGGTGAGGTTTAGCACACAGTAGCTGCTCAATCAATGAACATCTACAATCACTGAATAGGGTAAAAGGATGCAAGGGATGGTGGCCTCCAAGTCTAAGAATTTAGGTGCCAGTATGTGTGTTGAATCCTGTATTTTCACCATCAGCTGTAGCACTGACCACGCCCATTGGGGGGTGGAGCGATGGGCGGAGGTGACCTGAGGAAGGAGGTCGGAGGGGGCCAGGAAGGCGCTCTCTCTTTCTGGCGTGACTCGGACAGGAGAGGATCGGGTTGAATTTCCTGGTGTTCATCTGTCTAGGTTGTAAGTTATTTCTCCCTGATTAAACATCTATTCGGCCTATTTGTTTATCCTGATCCTTATTTACCGCAATAATCAGCCATGAACATCCATCCCCTTCCAGGATCTGCATTACTTCATGAGACTGTCCTTTTTGTGCTGTTATTGCCTCATACTCAACATGTCTTAAATTGAACTTATTATCTCTTCTCCCAAGTCAACTCCCTTTGTAACTTCCTATGCTAATTGATGATTGTGTCTTCCAGCTCTGACTGCAATCGCTTTATTCTTACTTCTCATGGTTTCTTCTGACTTCTGCCACTCTTCACCTTACTCTTCATTTTATCTGATTGAATTTTTAAATTCTATTTAATGTTTCCTTGTGTTACAGTACTACTTACATCAATTCTTTATGCCTCTCTGCAGACAGTATAGGGAAAGACAGTGTATCTTCACACCCCTCCTCAGTTTACAGACTCCAAATATCCCTGGATGGATCATACCATTCAGCTGGTTTTGTCTCTTATGTGTGAGAAGACTCCTGACTTCACTACACACTTGGTTACATTCACCTGAGCCCTCTTGTTGACAAACTATACCTCAGGCAACTAAGCCCAGGTTTAGCAGAGAATCTTGCTAATTCAGCTCATGGCAACTCCATCCCACACCTCACCTTGTATATCTCCCTTTTTTTTCCATGCATTGATGTCAAAGTCTCTGGCCTGCCGTTACCAAGAAAATTAACAAATCAGGTCAGCAAGAACTTCCTTCTCCTTGATATTTAAATATATTCATCTTAGTAATTCCTCATACATTGATTTCCCCATCTTGTGGCTTCACTATAAATCCCCATGTGTCATTGCTTTGTGTAGAGATAAAGTCAATCTCCTTGACACTGTTGACTCCACTGCACTGGTTTTGATGGAAGTCTTCCTTTCCAATTTAAAGAAGCATCAGAATTTTTCTTTTTGGTTAGTCTCTGGGAAGACTGACTCCTAAATAAATAATAACAATCCCATTCTCATAGCTATAGTCCCTGTGTTTTTTGCTTTGGAACCCATTGGATTTTATTTAAACCATGCCCTTTCTAAAATGTTTGCCTACAAACCAAACTTACAGTTCCCATACAGGGATACTTGACCGCATGGTCTGGCCTCACTGTAGCACACATTCTATTGTCTTTTCTTACATGTTTGAGAAACATAATAACATTTTCTCCAGAATGAAGTAAATGAGCAGCTAACAGGGATAGCAAGACCTCTCAGTGGTAGAGGTGCTTACTGCCAAGCATGATCTTTCTTTCAAATCCCACAACACACACACACACACACACACACACACACACCCTAAAAAATTAAAACTATATTAATAAACAAATATAGCAATAATTCTTCTTCAAATTGCTTTTATTAGACAGTTGAAATGTTAGTTATGAACAGCTGGTCTATTTTCACACAAAGGATCAAGAGGCACACTGATAAAGACATGCACTGAACAAGGGCCATTACTAGTACATAAACACTCAGGGATTGGGGCATGAAACCTCAGTACCAATTATATGGATCCACTCATTAAATAGCCTTTAATTAGCAGTAATACAGATTTCCCAATTTGAATAGTATCAGAAGCACAGCATCTGAGTTAGCAACAAAATGCTATCCTGGAAAAGAGAAGAAATGTGTACACAAAAACTAGCTTTTAGTTATATCCCAGAGTTCAATCTTAACAAAACTAAAGCATGGTAATTCTACCAGAGTTCTATTCCTGTGAATAAATATACCACAGAATATATTTATTCTTTAATGACAGACTCACTCATGCAGCATCACAATTGCATTTGGTTGATATCTGTGGGAAATGACTTTAGTTTTACTTTGTATATTCATTTCTTTTGAAATTTTTCTATTACTATTAGTGAAGTGAAATGAACAATATGGAAATCTAACACACATGGTCTTATACCGCACCAGTGAAATAGATAATGTGGGAACTAAACAGGCATGCCCTTATATTATATACACCAAGTCATTTTTTTTTTTTTTTTTGCAGTTTTCCAAGTAGCATGGCATCTTTTGTTTCTTAAATAAAATGTCAGTTTTTCCATAAGATTGCCTTGTGGGATGCTGGGAGATATTTGAGATTTAGAATTCATTTCAATATTCTATCTACCTCTTACCACATGACCTCTTTTTCAACAGAATATTAACTATATTTTTTTTAAAAAAAATCATGGCTATAATAAATTATAGTTTACATGGCACCCATTTGGCTGACAAAAGTTTTTGAAAACATACTGTATATGACATTTAGGTTATGTCAAAAATATATTTATTAAACATGAATTCTTCATTTGTTTTAACAGGACAAACAAATATCCATAAAATAAGAATTGTTACCCAAATTATCATTGTAATTGCTTTGTTTTTTTTTCTTAAAACTCAAAATCAGTTAGCAAGAAATCCACAAAGTTGTGTAAATAATCAGTCCCACAATGATTCCACTCATGAAAAAATAAATGCAATGTAGAAATAAATAACTTTGTAGTAAAATAGAAAGAATTTGGCGGTTGTCAAATAAATAAGCAGCACTATTGATGTGTGTATTCTGCTAGTAAATGATGTTCTTGGCAGCCAGAAGTGTGTTCTTCAGAAGCATGGCCACTGTCATGGGTCCCACACCTCCTGGAACTGGAGTGATGAAGCTGGCTTTCCTCTTAACAGCTGAGGAAAAAGAACATTTCTTTGTTTTAAATGTATCTAAGAATATCATTTTTAAGCACACTGCATATAGTTCATTTAGCCCATTATAAACATAATTTTACAAACCTCCAATCATTTACAAGATGCATTAGGCTACAATGAAGACACACACACACACACACACACACACACACACACACACATACACATACACAGGCACAAATATGCACACACACACATTATTCTATGATATTTATGGTGGACACAAAAGGACATGCTCAATCTCCATGCTTCTACTTTACAAGAACAAAAGTAATAAGCTATAATCAATGTGTCTTTCTTCTTATAATTTATAGAAAACAGTGGGCTTACAGATAGGAACCCAGGCTAATATTATTCACAAGACCACAAGCAATCTTAAGGAGGCCCTGAAGTGGGAACACATTAACCTGATTAAGTTATGTGCCAGGGCAGGAAGGCCTTAAGCATATTTCAAGGTTGTTTCGGAATTAGGGGCAGAGAGAGAGAGGCAGGTTAGTCATAGCACCTCTCTGTAGCTACTCTTGAGAGAGTGAGCCAGCCTACAGGAGGGTGTGACCTGATTTGGAGAGAGGGAGACAGCTAGAAGATCTGTCATCTAACAGTTCTGCTTAACTAACTCACAAAATATGAAATTGGTCACAACAGGGGGATACAGGGACCCACCCCTCTCTTTGACAGAGGCACAACTAGGTTTGAAAAAATTCTTTATTTCCACAATTGCACCCTTTCTTGGTATGGCTGTATTATCATGGGGAAGTCCCAAGTGCCTGCAGGAATAGCAATGAATAGTAGGATGTTCTAAAATACAAAAGAAAGAAAGGGAGGGAGGGAGGGAGAAAGGAAGGAAGGAAGACAGACAGACAGTGGAACCAACTGCAACATATTGATTTTCCTACTTATATTACTCAGCACTCGCACTATAAGTTACGTGTTACACTTCAAGTCACAGCTGATTAGCGAGCAGTAGTGGTCACTTTCTTTCTTGGATGTTAAATCCAATAAACTGCTGGTCTGCCTGGGTCTCACCATCTTCCTCTTGAAAGTTTATTTCCCCCACATACTCAGGATTCATGTTCAAACAGTACAAGCTGTGTGTGTGTGTGTGGGGGGGGTAGGAATGGGAATACGGGAATGGGCTGTTGCTTGGAACACTTGCCAGACAGCTTAGCCCAGAAGCTGCTCTTTTTGCACAGGTTGCAAATGGCAACCACACATTCACAACTTGCCCCACCTGTCATTCTTCAAGGGGATCTTCACTTGTCTGGGCTCAGGACTTCCCAGGGTGTTAACAAGCCTTTATGAGCATAGGTGGATCAGATAGTACTCAGTGGGCAGAAGATTAAACATTTCTGCAGACAGTTGAGCATCCAAATACTATTTTCAAGTTCAAGTTTTTTTTTGTTTTGTTTTGTTTTTTATAGAAAACAAAGTGGATACACATAGAGGCAAGGTTTGTACTCAGTAATGAGTGAGAAGCAGTGATGGGTTTAAAATACCTATTAGATTTCTCTGTTATTTTTTAAAACTTAATTTTCCTGAGGTATTGTGTCTAAGAAGGAGTAAGTATTTGTTGTTGAATGTTGTTAATGTAGTTTAGGTTCTATTATATAAGGAGCAGGGGCACATTTTCAGTTGAGGAATCATTAGCAGATGGCACTGGGTACTGATGTCAGTGGGTAATGGAAAAGTGCTCATCTGGGGAGGGAGACAACAGGAGGCTGAGATGGAAGAGTAACCTGTACCCAGTAGTTCAAAGAATCTGGACAATAAAATAAGACCTTGTTTCTTTAATAGTAAGTAATACATAAATGAATATTTTCTAATGACAAGTTTGCATAACTATCTCAAGACTGTAATAAGCTATATGCTTTGGGGCACCACAGATGCTTTTAGATGAGATTAGTCATGAGAGAAGTTCCAAGTTCAAGTCATGCTTCATAACGTGAAATTCATATTCTCTAATCATGTCTAGAAAAGATTAAGTTAATGAACCCTGAATCACCAGAACAACTTCTCGTTGACTGTTTCCCTAAGAACAGGCAGGCTTTGCACCTGCTTGTGTGTGTTTCTGTGTCTGTCTGTGTGTGTCTCTGTATGTGTGTGTGTGTGCCTGTGTGTACTGTGCTGTCTATGTGTGTCTCTGTATATATGTATGTGTCTGTATGTCTCTGTGTGTATTTATTTATTTTGTGTGTGTGTGTGTGTGTGTGTGTGTGTGTGTGTGTGTGTGTGTGTTTTGGGGGCTTCTCTATGCTTTACTGAAGAGAAACACAGAGGTATTACAGGGCAATAACCATTCACAGATTGACTTACTGTGGCTCTAGAAGTGGAGTAATATCTGTGTATGTGTTTAAGAGAAATACCAGTCTCTTCTGAATGAGAATTAGGTATTAGATCCATCAATAATTTCATGATTCACTAAAGAACATACCGAAAAATCTAGAGTTACATTCAATTCCATAGAAATCATCAGTTTGAGAGTTACTGAAGCTAACAATTAGGGCAAATAAAAATACCTGTTAAGTTCTATTATCTGTGTGCAATATGCCCTGGGGATGAGGGTTAGATAGAGATGACAATAAAGGGAAAGATTTGAAACTAAGATTTTTTTTTAAGGAAAAGCAATAATTACAACAAAATTTTATTTGAATGACCTCTCTACAAAACTTCAGGGACTATAAAGTAGCTACTAGAGATTTCCTTGAATTTATGAACATGATTTGTACTGCCCAGTCTCACTAATATGCCCCACCCCTTTTTCCATCTGGTGAACATTTGCTCTTCCTCCTCAGTCCAGCAGAACTGTCACTAGAGCTGGCTCCCAGAGCTGAGTTAGCTGTTTACTCACTGCTCCATGAAATTTACGGAATAATATTCAAGGTAAAGTCCTGAGTGCAATAGGATCTCCTGTTTAAGGAAGTCGAATTACAGCTGCTCCTCCCCCACCCTCCAGATTCTAGTGTCCATCATAGCCTAAAGTGTGAAACACCCGCACTGGAGAAAGAGCAGTGTTCCCCATATGAACAAGGTGGTGGAAGTTTGAAGGTTGATTGAGTGAGAGATGCATTGCTTTGGAGAGCTTTGTCATATGGCAACTTCAGGTTGCTAGGTCAACCCCAATGGGAAGGCAGTTTCAAACCTCTATAGCATCACAGTTGGTAATGTCTCTTTGGCCAAATCCTGTCTCAACATTACACTTCAACTATGAAGTGTGGGATAAGAATAGTAGCAAAGTCACTTTGCAAAGGGGATATGCCTGGACGCAGGAAACATGTGCCCACTCTTTATAGTCTACAATAGCAATGGTTGGTATTTTGTCTACCATTTCAGCCACACCATCTGTGGTCAGAATTATTCTTTAAAACAGATCTGATCACCTCACTCATAGAAATTTGTGAAATTGTTACTAACATTAAGATAAAGTTAAAAGTATCAGTCATGGCAACCAGGATCTATTGTCCTCTGGTCATATTCCTATATCTGATTATTACTGTTCCTACACATGGTACAAACTGGCCCAGACAGAGTCACAGAAATTTTCCCTTGTGTAAGACATAGTTACTAACCCGTGGAATTCACAGTCTTATTATAGAGATGTATATTTTAAAAATGCAATTACTCAAGCAATAATTGAGTGATGGCTGCAAAGTTTATGGCACTGAGAATGTGTCTGGAGAGCCTCCCTCGTCTGATATAGATGTGGCACAGGTATGCCAGACTTTTCCAGGTAAGAAATAGAGAGACCAGACAGTACGCTTGGTAGAGGGACCATGTTTGCAATCAAGATGGAAAACAAAACACAAAACCTCCTTCTCTTGGGTGGAAAGAGGCTTGAATCTGGGAAATGCTAGAGGAAGCCTGGCATTGCTCATCTGTAGGTAAAAGGAATCTAGAGAAGATGATATGGAAGAGGTAGGTGGTTTGTAATGATTTTATAATATAACCTAAAATCAATCACTGAAGTACTTCTGAAAGGAAGAATTCTCATTATTCTTACTTGAAAAGAACTGGTTTTTAATATCAGAGTAAGAATAACAGGTATGGAGCAAAGGTTACTTCATGTTTAAAAGGAGGTGATGACAGGGGTGATGAAAGATATTAGATGTTCAGTCTATGCGTGTACCTCAAAAAAAAAATGTGAGGGTGACATGTGGTCACAGGGTGTGGAAAGATTACTCAAAAGGGACACGGCTAGCGACATAAGGAATGTTCAAATGCTCTTTAACAACTTAGTTAAAACAAAAGAAGAAGGATGTGATCATTAACTTCCTGGCAGCAGCAGCCATGCTTCGGGAGAGGGTGTCTCTGGCTTGGGTTTCCTGTGTCATTATGCCCTCTGGGAACTTCATGGTCCCTGTTCCCAGGACTGGCACTAAAGAATCAAAATTGAAAATATGTCATCTGGGAGATTTTCCAGGTCCCTGGCAGGTAGTGAAGTTTGACTTGAGTGCCAGTGTGCATTCCTCCATGGTCCTTCAGTAGGAGGACTGATGTATTAAAACAGAATTGACTCTGCTAATATTTTATGAAAACTATGTCCTGGAAAGAGAGAATATGTTTGTGTTCTAAAAACTTCTGTTTGTGTGGAGCAATAGAAACTATTGACCTAAGTTTCTCTTGTGTTGTTTTTCTTTCTAGTTTGTTTGTTTGTCATCTTATAAAAGCATCCTGTGGCATATGTTAAGTTTCTAACACGGCGACAGCAAACATTTAGAAGTACTTTAATTTTAAAAGCAACACACACACACACACACACACACACACACACACACACACACAGAGAGAGAGAGAGAGAGAGAGAGAGAGAGAGAGAGAGAGAGAGAGAGAGAGAGAGAGAGAATGTCTTGCTTCCCTCATGTGAATTTCGGCTTCCCAGTATACATACATAATTGTCTAAATTAAATGGTTGAAAAAGTTTCCCATGCTTCTGAATGCAAACTACTTAGGCATGGCCTCTCAAACGTATCCACTATAATGAA